TTAAGGAAAATGAATTAGGGTATTTGTTGCCAGACTTATAGTGGGAATTTAATTTAAACAACTTTTCTGAAGGGTACCTTCCCAATATACATACAATAAAAGCCTTAAAGTATGCATCTCTTTCATTAATTTTAAATTTACTTGAGAAAATATTTGCATTTGTCTATATACACAAAGATACAAGTGCCAGGATACTCATCACAGCACTATTTATATCATCAAAATATTGGAAACATCCTAAATGTCCAATTGTAAAAGACCAGTATAGGAAAATTATAATATTATTTGATAAAATACTATATAATCACCAAAATAATCAGGTCAAATACTTCTGATGTCAGACTCTTTATGTATGTTCCTGAGAAAATAAGTATACACTAAAATAGAAAATATGTAAAGAAAATATATGTAATTATAAATAGACACTCATTTATTAACATAAATTAAAATTTCATTTACCAACTATTTTTGGAGCATCCAATAATGTGTAAAGCACTATCTCTGCTTTCCTCTCATCATCCCTGCCTCCAATAAATCAGTCATAATCATTATTAAAATTGATCAAAACTGAGTAAACAATCTGCCAACAGAGGCAATAAGCACTTAAGAGCAGACGGCTAGTTCAGCCAGTGTGCTTCAGCGGTTGAGCATTGACCCATGCACCAAGTGGTCGCCAGTCCTGGTCAGGGCACATGCCCAGGTTGTAGGCTTGATCCCTAGTGAGGGGCATGCAGGAGACAGCTGATCCATGTTTCTCTCTCATTGATATTTCTATCTCTCTCCTTCTCCTTCCCTCTCTCTCTAAAAATTAGTAAGAACATATTTTTAAAAATTGTTTTTATAAAAGAGTAGATTCCTAGACACAGATTTGAAATCATCTTTAAAATTTTAAAAAAATAACTCAAAGGCAACCTAAATGAACTGTTGTTACTTATATCTGAAATTTATGCAACTATTTTCTTTTTTTCCTACAACTATCACACTGCTAAATCTCAGTACTTTTCCATTGTAATACTATGATAACTTTCAGTATCTTACCTGATCAAAAAGGTCTGTTCCATCTGAGCCTGCTGCTTTCATTAATTCATCTTCTCCACCAGGATGATACTCCATATATGGGCTAACATTGTAAACAAACCCTGTGTCAAAGAAAGGAGAAATAATATCCTAAATGAACTTCTTAAAACTTGTACAAATTACAAATATAAGTTCCAATAAATCTTTCAAAATACATCCTATTTATTATGCTCAAGTACTAAGAATATAAAGAGTCTGAGATTTCACCATACTTAGAAGCTAGTAAGTTAACCTGAAGTTTCATGGGTCCTATAAGAAAACATGAGACTACTAGGTCATAGACATAGGACAGTTTAATACTCACATCACTACCTGCGGCTAGAATAGCAGCATGTGCACAGTCCCCTACACCCCAATTCCCATCCCCTCTTCTATGTGAAGAGGGCCAGATAACACCTGTATACTCAACATGTTGCAGAACAGGAAAGAAACTCTGAGCTTAGGAAACTTGAATCTTTGTAATGAATGGGCAGTAAGTGTGCCTGCCCTTTGTTCTGGAGGGAGACAATACTATCTATACGTAGCAGTAACCAAACATGTTAGAGGAAGACACTAGCTCTACTACTATTCAAGGTTGTTAGCCATGCAAACATCCCTGAAAAGACTGTCCAGAGCAAAGACAGTCATGCCTCTGCTTTCAAGATCTCTCTTCCCTCTCCTCTCCCTTCTCTCCCCCCTTTTCCCCCCTCTCTCTTTCTCTCTCTCTCCCTCCCTCATATTTCCACTATATCATCTTCTACTGCCCTGGTTGAAGAATCTGATGAAAAAAAGAATTGAACTCTCATCCATGTGTCTGACCATCTCAGGAAAGGCAGAGCAATGTGACCTCATGGGCCACTTAGGCATGCTCTATGAAAGCAAGTATAATTCTTTTCTGCAGCTGCCCAAGGAACAAAGATTCTTTTCTTGGTTAGAACTTAATAATCCTTTTATCTTCCCAAAATATTCATTGCATCTAGTCATATCTTTAACTATAGTTTTATCTTTTCAGGAAAAGGAATAGGAAACAACAAATAGAGACCAGCTCAATTAATAGCCTTACCAGGGAAGTGAGCTGCTTTTTAATCCTTTACGTGAAAACCAGATACAATAATAGGCAAATCCAGCCCTACAGACACCTAACAAGTGCAATGAGAACAACTGGTTTTCTTATATCTAGGACTTGTCCCTCCTATATGATGACTCTCAAGAATTTAAATAACCCTGGATAACTTAAAATGTTTATTTTATATAATAATCTTGGAAGAAAGAAAAATTTGGATTTCAGACCCAAGAAAATAACTACAGTTTTTCTACCAATTTAATTTTAGAAAATAACTAACCAGTCAGGATGTCTTTTTTTTTTAATATATTTTATTGATTTTTTACAGAGAGGGAGGGAGAGAGATAGAGAGTTAGAAACATCGATGAGAGAGAGACATCGATCAGCTGCCTCCTGCACATCCCCCACTGGGGATGTGCCCGCAACCCAGGTACATGCCCTTGACCGGAATCGAACCTGGGACCTTTCAGTCCGCAGGCCGACGCTCTATCCACTGAGCCAAACCGGTTTCGGCCCAGGATGTCTTCATAGAATTGCTCAAATGCAATTTAGGCAATAAAAAGAAGTAAATTCGCAAAATCTCCCAGCAGTCCTCAAAATAAGTCTAAAAAAAAAAAGAACTGGTGGAGTCCTTCCTTTCTCCTGCTGTCCACCTTTCCAAAATCCATAGACCACAAATGTTGGAGGTAAGGATTAGGATCAAGATTATTCCCAACAGACTTTTTAAAACAGAGAACCCCCTTCCAAACAAAAGAATTCTGAACGTTCTCTGCCACCAAACCTTGACTAGAGTTTGAGTTCTCAGGAACATGGTATCTGTAACACATGATCATCTAACCTTCTGGGACAGAGTTTCATGTGCTTCAGCAACCAGCAGGAGGATAAACAGGTAGTAGCTTTACTATCTACCAATGATTAGCATATATAGGCTGCAATGTCCCACATGTGTTCTCTGCTTCCTAAACTCTTTAGACTGACACTTATCCTTTCATAATCTTCCTTTCCTTTCTGATAGACTAAGACACAAACCTAAAGAACTTCCCATCCTCTTCAAAAGGACAAAACTAGGAAGGATAAAATCCCTTACTATAAGGAATTCAGACTGTTAGATCCAACCACACCTGGCAGTGTCGATGATTTGCTGATTATGAGTCTTAAACCGTGCTCCTTAATGCCACTGGTACATTTCCACTGGTTCAGAGGTTCTATCCCCCCTCTTAAGGTCTCCTTCCTTTTTTCCTTTTCAAAATCATTTCCTAACAAATTTCCTAACAACTAAAACTTGGACCCCTGAATGTGGCAGAAGAAAAGGAACACAAAGAACTTAACTTTATGTTTTTCCTTTATGCTTTATTGTACTCTACTAGTATTTGTACTACACATGGCTTTTAGACAGCCATCTCTCCTGTGCAAGCTTTTCGCTTCCCATCACCTGGTGTTTAGAAACTAATTTTGCAACTCTCTAAATTTTTCAATGACACAATTAAATTCTTCCTATAGCTCTAATGGCACAGGTGTGGGAGATATGCACAGCAATATAAATAAATAGTATTTATGGACCCATCAAATTGGACCATCTCAATTTGATGTTAAGCTATCAATTCAGCAAAACCCAAATCCTAATAATGACATTAAGAACAAAAACAGGCAGAAATAGATTCATGAAACATCAGAATGGTGCTTTTAGATCCATTTATATGGGACCTTTAGTAGCAGAGGGAGATTTAGGGAGTCACTCTATTGTCTGTCTATCTGTCTATCTAGCTATCTCCTCTTTGGTATTACTTTATTTTGTTTTATATTTTGTTTTTTAAACTTTAAGCAGGAGTAGATCCAATAAACGGACAGACTAACTAATCCTAAGAACAGCAACTTAGTTTCACCAAACAATAAACTTATACAATGTTATTTTCAATTACATCTCAATGAAACTAGGAAAAATGGTGTTTTTTTAAAAGGAGGAAGAAGGAGGAGGAGGAGGAGGAAGGAAAGGGGGAGGGGGAGGAAGAGAAAGAGAGGGGAAGAAGGGGCAGCAGCAACTTATTAAAGTTAGAATACAACAGTTCTGTTAGGAACATATACTCTAATGTTTAAATACATAATTTTTAAATGCCCTAGCAATATTCAGGGGTACATTTTATAGCTAATTCATCCTAGCAGAGGTGCTATGCAACTGAAAACATACATTCAGAACAATCACTATACTGAGTTCTTTAGGCAATGCACTAGTAGTACCTGTTTTAATAGTTTCACATTACATTATCTCTTTTGTATTATATGTCTGAAACTTTGAGCTGTCAAATAAATTATTAGAATAAAAATTACCCACTTTAAAATTACCACTCAGTGCGTTGTATAGTCAGAAACTTGCACTGCCAATTCAATTACAGAATGATAGTTTTAAGTCTGACCTCTCATCCAGTACAGGCTTCACCTCTACAGAATCTATAGACAGACTGTCATCTAGAATCTGTTTCAACAGTACCAGTGTCTAGGAGCTCAAGCTCACTGTTTGTTTAAAAACCTAGTTAAGGATCAATATTGCTTTTGTGCCTGAAAACTAAAGTCACTATTTTACATAGAAAGAGCTCTTTTCCATCTTGGCAGCTGCTGCCTCTAGTTTTTCACATATACTTTTTATATTTGTTGTAATTTAAATCCCAACTGCTACTGATAAAGACCACAGGCATCTTACAATAAAATACTTACATTTGTGTGCAAAATTTAAAGAACCCACACCAAAACATGTAAAAGAAAAGAAAATACACTAGTCGCTTAACCTAGTTAACAATGTTACTATGATTGTTAGTAGTCCTGAACTTTCTAGCAGCCAAAGCCAAAGAGATACTAGTAACAGTGGTCTCATTATCCAATCTTAAAAAGCATTACAAGGAGCCAAGCAAACAAACCACAAAAAAAGAGGGATTCATTAGTTCTTTAAAAGACAGAAACTCCCTTTGAGCATTTGCTATTGATATTGTGAAGAATTATGAGTCCCTATGTAGGGGCCATTGACTACAACAGATAGTACAACCGTTATGCAGAAACATTCTTCATTTAGCATCCCTCCCACCTTCCCCAGCCCTAGGTAACTGCAAATGTACTTTCTCCCTCTTCAGATTGCATATTTTGGGCATTTTGTACAAATGGAAACATACAGTATGTGGTCTTTTGTGTTTGCCTTCTTTTACTCAGTATAATATTTTCAAAGTTAATCCATGTTTTGCATGTATTAATACTTCATTTCTTTTAATGGCTGAATAACAGTCCATGGATGGACATGCCACATTTTGTTTATTCATTCATCAGTTCATGAACATCTACATTTTTTCCACTTTGGGGCTATCCTATATAATAAAAGCCTAATATGCTAAGTGTCTGGTCGGCCAGTCAGCCATTCAACCTATCAAAGCATAATGTGCTAATGATATGCTAAGGCCACTCAACCGCTTGTTATGATGCTTCGACCAGTAGGTTAGCTTGCTGTTGGGGTCCGGCTGATCAGGATTGAGCGAGACAGGCCAGACATGCCCTGGAGCCCTCCCACGGTCCCTCCCTGGCTGGCAAAGCTCCCACATCCCTACCCTGCCCTGATCATGCATCGGTGGGGTCCCTCGGCCTGGCCTGCACCCTCTCGCAATCCGGGACCCCTCAGAGAATGTCAGAGAGCCGGTTTGGGCCGGATCCCACAGGTCAGGCCAAGGGACCCCACTAGTGCACGAATTCGTGCACCGGGCCTCTAGTTATAAACAATACTGCTATGAACATTCATGTATGAGTTTTTGTCTGGACATATATTTTTATTTCTTTTGAGTATACATTTAGAAGTGAATTTGTTGGGTCATATAGCTACCTATGTTGAACCTATTGAGGAACTGCCAGACTGTTTTCCATTCTCAGCAGCAACGTGTGAACATTCTAATTTCAAAGAGCTCTTTTTCAGGCACTACTCCAACTCTGCATAGGAGAAAATGCCTTTTCCTACCGATAGAACCTGAGTCACACCACATTTCTCAGATA